TGTTGGAGTAAAAATAAACTCTACGTCCTAGTGATGTGAGGGGGCGATCCCTTCCCCTGCGTTTTGTCTTTTGTCTTTTGTCGCCGGTTTTCTGGAGACGTTGCTGACCTGCGTGGCTCCGAACGGACGGGCCAGTTCTAACCGTTCGCCCGTTTAATAAAGATCTAATTTTACACCGTCTCACTGATTATTATTTCCTAAAAGATAACCCCTTAACAATAAACAAGCACGGGGTGGATGAGGTAGAATCGGATATGATAAATTCGCTCAAATTGAATACCTCGGATAAGCGTTTACGAGAAAAAACTCAAAACCGCGGCCAATCGTATGTTTCGACACAGGCACAGCATCGGTGTATCGTTTGTAAGGGAGAACATTCGATTTACGCCTGTCCAAAATTCCTACGATCTGCGATTAACGATCGCTTCAACATGGTAAAGAATTTAAAACTGTCTTAATTGCCTTCGATCAAATCACCTAGTCGGCGATTGTAGATTAGGGAATTGTCGTAAGCGTGAAAGGAAGCACCATACACTGCTTCATTTTTCATCTGCGAAAGAGGAAAATATCGATCAAAATACTTACAAAGACATTTCGTCATCTTCGACATCCTTAGATATTTCGAAACTCACCCTCACCGCTTATCGCGACTCTGAGATTTTACTTGGGACTGCACGAGTCGTAAGTCTCGATAAAAACAACCGGAATCATGTATGTCGCGTGCTGATTGATAGTGGTGCGCAAACTCATTTTATAACCCATCGTCTCGCCGAAAGGTTGAACTTAAACATAAAACAAATCTTTCATTTCCTGACCTACAGACAAACGTTTAAACAAAACTTGCTAGGTTAGGTTAGGTTCCATCAGAAACTGGAAAAACAGGCATTTTTTGGAACCCGACAATGGAATTTATCGAATGGCATTTCGCCCCTCCACACACTCCACACTTTGGTGGTTTGTGGGAAGTTGCTGCAAAGTCATTCAAGAATCATCTCTATAGAACAGTTGGAGATGTATTATTCGCTTACGAACAATTTTATACATCGATAGTTGAGATTGAAGCCATTCATATTTCTCACCCTCTGATACCTCTATCCTCTGATCTCAACGATCTCCTCGCCATTACGCCCGGCCATGTCCTGAGAGGTGATTCGTTGACAAACCTGCCCGAACGCAATTTCGTCGATACACCGGACAACAAGCTGTCACTCTGGCAGCATATACAAAAAATTAAAGGCCATTACTGGAGCTGGTGGCAAAAGGAATATTTGCAGGAACTATACACCAGAGATGCTACGCTATTCGAGGAAGGTACACTCGTGAGCATTATAGAAGATAATAGTCATCCTCTTCATTGGCAGCTCAGGCGAGTTGTCAAGGTCCATCCAGGCGAAGATGGCATTGTACGTGTGGCTTCATTACGAATCCAAAACGGGGTTTATAAGCGTGGCATTAAAAGACTACTCTCACCCTTGCCACTCGAAGACAAGTAGCTATAAGCGTACACGACCGATATATGGTTAGATTGTAAACACTCTTAATTTTAAGCGACGATATAGTTGTACAATCCTGCTATAAGTTCCTTGTAATCTCGTTAGTTTGTTCCACTATCATTTTCATAGATCTACTATACTTGAACGCAGCCGATTAAGGCGGGCGGCATGTTAATCCTTGAAATGTCGTTCCGGTATTCCGTTCATCCCTTTGTTTAGGATAGACTGTATATCTAAATGATAAACAATATATTATAATTGATGTTGGTAAATCGCCTAAGATTATCGATCAAGGAATTGGCCTAATATAAACATTTAGGGGAAGATAATCTGCTTGTGAGAGGAAATTGAAGCACGCGTTATATTGGTAACATTAAATGCTATACTGTGGCTGTATATCTTGCAGGTTTCATCCAATGAAATCTCAATCTTAGATTGACAGGTACGTATGTTCAAATCTTTGTTGGAATTGTTTCATGGAACTTGATTTTCGTGTGTTCCACGAACTTCAACAGATCTGTCTGATGATTCGAAGGAAGAGCG